TTCTTTTTTTTTAAGCTCATGTCCGGACTGGAACAAACAAATTGGGATAGAACTGAACCTCAACTCAATTTTTGACATATATCTTTACACTTTAAACTAGGTTGGTTTAGGAATGGACTATTTTAACGATTTAAAAAAAAAAATTTATAAAAAAGTATGAAAAAATAAAAATAAAAGTTTGATAATTTTTGCTGTTTTTTTTTTTTGACTTTTTAATTAAAATAACATATCGACCAATAAGTCATAAGCTTAAACAGAGGCCTACATGGTATATATATGTGCATGCAATACGCATATATAAATGTGAAAAAGCCTATGTGTGCACCTTCTTAGGGGTCCATCACCATACACCTTACCCGTATAATTATTAACATCAAATGCATAATTTTGCTATAAATTAACCTAATAAAATATCTAAAATTTTATGGTTGATTTTACAAAAATTTGTAGCATAATTGTCAATTTGTGACAAGTTTACGTATTTTGTTTACGAAATTTTGTAATAAAATTTGTCTGTAAATGTTGTCTGTAATGTATGTATATTTATGAAAGAGGTTAGAAATTGAAGGTACCTGAATGAGTTCCATGAGAAAGTGAACATCTTTGGCATAGAGTTCAGCAGATAGATAATTAACAGCGTGATGAAGATCTTCGTTCTTGGGATCAGGTTCTTCTCCGATCTTAAACTTCTTCTTCCGAATCTCCTCTATGTGTTCTCTCGGTGGCATTGCCATTCCCAATCAATTTGAGCGAGAGAGAGAGAAAACTCAGAAACAGAGCACTTGGACTGTGAGCTGTTAATAGAGAGTGAGAGTGTTATTAATAGAAGATGAAAACTTCATGAGGAAACAAAGTGAGTAGCAGATAGATAGAGAGAAAGAGGAAAAGACTACTGCTTTTGCACAAAGAGGCTGTCCGCTTTCGCTTGACCCTTGAAAAGATTGATTGAGTCTTCCTCCTCCTCTTACTAACTGATTTTTCCTAAAGTGATTTTTAACATAATTGAAATGTTTTTAAAAATAATTATCAATACTATTATACTTTTAACTTAGATTATATTTGGTAATTCTTCAGCTTAGTTTAAAAGTTACTAAAAAAAATTAAAAAATCTACAAATATCCAAAAATAAATTCACTCTATTTTTTGCAACATATTATTATTTTTTCAAATATATTAGTTTTTTTCATCTCATATTTTAAGTCAAAAACTAAAAAATTATTAAAAAAACTTGTTTCCAAACAAGACTTTAATATTATTATACCCCCAACTTTTATATTACTATTAGCAAAACTAAGAAACCAAACACTCATATCAATTCTAAAACATAACGTGGAGGATAACTAAGTTACCAATAAATTAAAATTTTGGTTTTATAGCAATTTTATATAACTTTTGGGCTTACTTTTTATTTATATATTGTCTTGAGGATTAAATTGATTCAAATTTAATACTTTAAAGAATTAATTAACAAAATTAAAATTTTAAGAACCTAAACGAAAAAGTGTTAAACTTTAGGGATTATAATTGTAATTTATCCAATTAAGAAATTTAAAATTTTTCTATCAAACAAAAAACTTTATCAGATTAGTCTTATCAAAAAATATTTATCAAACAAAATTTAAGAAATATAATTTACCCTTTTTATTTAGGGCATTCAACTCATAAATTCAAATTCAAATTCAAATTCAAATTCAAATTTTATTTGGTCAAAACTCTAATCACTGAAATAGATTGGCCGTAAGTGCAAGCAGTACACGTTTGCTCACTTAGCTTTCATTTCTCAAAACCTCTCTCTCTCTTCATCCCATCTCTCTCATCATCAAACACCACTGATTGAAAGAGGCGTAGTTTCTCTCTCCTTCTTTGCTCCTTCTGCGCCTCCTCCGCCATCATCGGCGTCTTCATCGTCTTCAGCGGCGACAGTGTTGATATTCTCATGCAATCACCTCCTCCTCCACTGCCGCGACCAAAAATAAAATTCAAATCAAACAAAATGTAATATTTAAAAAAAAAAATTTGTTAACATTTAAGAAATAAAAGGTCTCAATTTAAAATTTTGCTTTACGCCCCCAAAAGGGTTAGGCCACCTCTGTATGATTTTACAAGTTTAACGGTTCATTTATAATTTTAATTTTTTAAAATCAGAAAAACCAATTCAATTCGAAATTTACTTTAAAATGGAACCAATTAGATTAGTGAACACCCGTTAAATACACCTCCATTTTCTATTCTTCTACTTCACAATGCACAGAGGAAATCTTCGTAAGGAGGTAAAAAAAAGTAGGACTAAAAGAGACAAAGAATATAAGGCGAATTTGTACGGAAATAATAGCTTTTTGCATATTTTTTGTACACTGCTTCGTCAGCCAAGTCTTCCTCGAGTCCACTACCTACTTACATTTTTTGCTTTTCCTCACCAAAAAGAAAAGAAAAAAAAAGGTTAGGTGCAGCATATTCACACTACAAAATGTGAATATGAAGTGAAAAAAAAATATGGATATTCGAGAATAAATTTTTGGGATATTTATTCATAAATTTTTCTTCATCTATTTATATTTTATTTAATTTAAATTATTATTTTTATATTCTAATAAGTTCTATGAGTGTAGCGATCCCAGTTTTGCCACTTCGCTGAATATGTCGGGGGTTGAGCTGCCCAGTCAGCTCATGGGGGTCCAGGGGGCAGCACCCCTTTGCGGGTCCAAGGGCAGCGCCTTGGCGGGGGTCAAGCAGAGAATGTTTGGTTTCGAAGTTGCTTGTCCGCTTGAGCGAAGAATGTTTGGTTTTAGAAGTTTGACCTGTCTACAAAAGTACTGGGTTAGTATATTTGACGCTTGAGCGGGGCTTTCCACGCTCAAGCGGACCATATTATATCAGTTCATGAATTTGATATTTCAGATCACTTTTTTTTAGTCCTCTCTCTCTCTAAAACTCTCCAGAATTCCAGATCGGGAGCTTCTTTCTCTAGAAGTCATCTTCTCTCTTTGATTTCTCCAAATTCATTGAGATTTAGACCTAAGTCATTCACCAAAGTCGGTTATCTAGGCAAGGGCTACGTTGTGTGTGATGAAGATCGAATTCCAAAGTCGGTTAGACCTAACTCATTTCTTCTTCAAACTTGAGATAGAGATTTCCTTTGAGTTATATATATATAAATTTTTGCAAGATCTAGATGATTTTCGAAATCATCCTTTGATTAGCTTTGAGAAAATGATTGTTGATTTCAAGAAGATGAGTGATTTTGAAAGAGGGTTTATTTTCTTTTCCTTTTAAAATAGAAATTGAGGGTTTTGAACCATATTGATTGAAGAAAGATGACTTTAGGGAGATTTTTCTAAATATTTTGGAGATGAATGGTTTTTGTGAGAAAACCTAGAAATTTGGTCTTTGTTTTGAAAGATGTTGAAAATTGTACCAAAATAAATGGATGTTCTAAAAATTGTTTATTTATATATAAATGACGAATTTTGTGAAAAAAAATGTGAAATATTGTTTACTTTGAAAATTGTTGTCAAAATGTTGATTTAGTCTTGAATTGACTAAATTGTTGAAATTGCTTGAAATGTGGGAATTACATTATTCTCTTGAATGAATTGGATATAAAAGTATATATATATATATATATATATATATATATATATATTCATCTTGTGAAATTGTGTTGAAAAGAGGATTAGGAATTTTGATCATAATGGTATATTGTGTGGAACAATTGAATATGGAAGTAATGTTGCATTGCATTATTAAGCATACATTGGCATTTCAATTCATTGGACTATGTTTAGCTTTGGAAATTTGCATTGAGAAAAGAATGTTGGGAAATGTTGGGAAATGGGTTTTCATGAAATGGTTTTGGGATAAATACGGTGGTAAGTCTTGATAGGTGGTGTAGGTGAAATTGTTTAAGTTGGTCTGAGTGCCCTTGGTGAAAGACCAGAAAGTCGCTCGGATAGGTGTCGAGCCTTCTAGTTAATACTGATAAAAACGACAATTGGTAGTACTCGTATAGTCTACTTGCAGACACTGACCTAGGAATTACCAAAGTTGTATTTAATGCCCCATTTAATTAAATTGATAAATTTTGAACAGTTGAAGTTGCATAACATCATTGAGCATGATGGTTTTCAAGAGATGAAGATGTGTTTTATTTTCAAAAAGGCATGGCATGGCCTGTGCATTCATCTCTTGAGACTTGTATAAAATGTATATACTTTGTTAAGGATTTCCTACTGGGCAACCGGAGCCAAAAACTAGTGATCTCATTGATATGGATCCATCTCCTTCATCTTCAGTTGATGATAAAAATGGGGGAGATGTGCAGCAAGACTTAGGGTTTTGAAAGGATGATGCTAATCCTAATGAAGTTGAGCCAGGGACAAAAAATTAGGCCCAGGCCCAAGGGGTATTCGGGCCTCGGGCTAGCCCTGCGGGCTGGTCTTGGCCTTAGGGGCTGGCCTAGGGCCTGGGAGGCCTGATCATTTTTGTTTTTTTTTTAAACTTTTTCTACCAAAATTTTATCATTTTCCATTAAAAAATGCACTGGGCCTTGGCAGGCCAGGCTGTGAGTGGGCCTTAAACGGGTTGATGGATCAGGCCCATAAGCCAGGTCGGGCTTCAAAATGATGGCCCAGGCCTAGGGGCTTGGGCTGGGCTCAAGGCCGGGCCCAAACGAGACTAAACAGGTCCAGTCCACCCCGAGCCACGGGTCATTTTACACTCCTAGGGAGCCTGCAGGATCATAAGCTTGGATTATAAGTATTAAAACGCTGAGTGAAAAGGGGTTTTGTGAAAATATCGGTTAATTGATCAGAAGTTGAAATGTGACAAATGTTGAGCTGTTTAGCTACGAATCGCGCTCAAATATAATGGTAATAAACTTCTATGTGTTTGGTTCGAGCATGGAAGACAGGATTAGAGGAAAGAGAGATAGCAGATAGATTATCACACCACAAAGTAGGTGAAGGAACTACAATGTAAAGATCAGATAAGAGCATGGTAAGCTAACTGAGCTCTGTTACTATTTGAGCTAAGGCTCGATATTCGGCCTCAGTAGAACTTCGAGAAACAGTAGCCTGTTTCTTGGCAGACCACGATATAAGATTGGAACCCAAGAAAATACAATAACCAGAGGTAGACTTGCGGTCAAGAACATCCCCGGCCCAATTGGAGTCAGAAAAGGCATGAACATCAAATGTACTAGGAGAAAACTGTAAACCATGATGAAGGGTGCCTTTGACAAAGCGAAGAAGGCGCTTAACAGCAGAGAAATGGCCATTGGTAGGGGCATGCATATGTTGGCAACATTGATTAACGGCAAGAGATAAATCCGGCCTGGTAATGGTAAGATATTGCAAAGCTCCCACCAAACTTCGATAGAGAGTAGGATTAGAATAAGGGGCTGTAGAATGAGGCTGAGAAGTAGGTTTAACAGCAAGAGGAGAAGAACACGGCTTGCAATCAGATAAACCAGCCTTAGTGAGAATGTCTTGAGCATATTTTTGCTGGGATAAAAAATAGCCAGAAGAGGGAGAACCATGGATAGAAATACCAAGGAAATAGGAGATATTTCCTAATTCTTTCATGGAAAGGCTCCGGCGGTGGTTCTTCCACCCGGGGGCACTCCGACGATCAAGTTAGTATATCTCTCAAAGATAATCAATAGTGCTTAACTCACTAGACAGAATATAAATTGCGTAAAAGACATACCTTAGACTCATGAGGGTGCCTCTCTTTTATAGCCAACATAATCCTAGTCCCAATAGAAGCCTGACTTCTATGGATTCCTGTTCAGTACTTATTTTGGACTCCTTAAGAGATAAAGATAAACTCCCTAAGAGCTTTATCCTTATCTTGGCTAAGTCTCCTCTTTATTCTAGGACTCTTGGCCCTTATCCCTTATCCGCTTATCTCGGATTCCGATATCTTCGGAGATAACCTCGGCCTAACCGAGATGACCTCGACATAACGACCAGGACACGTGGCACCACGGCTGAAACGTCGGCGTCACCTTAGCCACGTGTTGGTACTCAGAAAATATATCCCCACAGTACCTGAATGAGTTCCATGAGAAAGTGAACATCTTTGGCATAGAGTTCAGCAGATAGATAATTAACAGCGTGATGAAGATCTTCGTTCTTGGGATCAGGTTCTTTTTTTATCTTAAACTTCTTCTTCCGAATCTCCTCTATGTGTTCTCTCGGTGACATTGCCATTCCCAATCAATTTGAGCTCGAGAGAGAGAAAACTCAGAAACAGAGCACTTGGACTGTGAGCTGTTAATAGAGAGTGAGAGTGTTATTAATAGAAGATGAAAACTTCGTAAGGAAACAAAGTGAGTAGCAGATAGATAGAGAGAAAGAGGAAAAGACTTCTACTTTTGCACAAAGAGACTGTCCGCTTTCGCTTGACCCTTGAAAAGATTGATTGAGTCTTCCTTCTCCTCTTACAAAGGAGGTTAAGTGTAATTTCATCAAACTACAAAGGAGGTTGCTGTAATTTATCTAATACTAAAAGAGAAAAAAAAAATGTTAGATGCTTGAAGAATTTTTTTTATTATTATAATTATACAAGATGACTAACAAAGACATTAGTACAGAGTGTGTGCCTTTTAGTTCGATAGATCATATTTGAAGTGAACTATGAATTTTTCATTCCATAGTTTATATTAAAACAATGAATTTTGTTCAGTACTAAATTTATGAACCAAAGGTGCGAAAATTTTGAAGTGTTGTAAATTGAGCAAAAATAAGAAGACAAAAAAATGTTTAAATAGAAGTTTCTAATATAATGTAAATCGGGTAATTCTATTTACACATTAAAAACATCTCATTACATTTAATTTTTAATTATATCATATAAAAATTCAAAATTTTTATTTTATCTCTTTATGCCAACAAGGTGGTGGAGAGTTGGTAAAGATGTGGAAGTGAGGGGTGTAATGAGAAATTTGGAATTTAATTTTTTAGAATTTGGGTACTTTTAGGAATTTTAAGTAATTACAACAAAAGGAGATTGTGGTAATTAATTAAATAAAATAGTGGGGAATCAATTTTAATATTCTATAAATGGAAAATTAAATTTTATTTTATTTTTATTTATTTGCAAAGACATGGTATTTTTTACATATTTGCTCTTCAGTCTCCCTCTTTTTTACTTTTTTTTCTTTTATCTCTTATTCTTCCTTCCATTACCTTACCAACCACCAACCACCCATCCTCCACCTAACCCAACCATTGCCAACCTTATCCATCCTTCTACACTCTAAGAAACACGGACACTTCTGAAAAGATGACATATCTGTATAAGTCTGTGTAGGACAATGACACACATCGAACACTTCCAGACATGTGTCTGACATTCGTCAAAACGTGTTTCTTTTTTTGAAATTTTTTTAGATCCAGACACTTTTCGAACACTCGTGTCCATTGCTTAAACACATATGGCCACCAATTAGACCCACATGAAATTAATTATAAGTTTGAATTAAATAACTTAAGTTACAATAATAAAAGAAAAAAACAATGTAAATATATAAAATTAGTTTTATATTACATTTTTTTGGTTATCTTTAAATGATATATTTATATATATCACATATAATAAATATATAAAATTATATATTTCTTATGTGTCCCCTAGGTGTTGTGTCTTGCATTTTTTGAAAATTAGTGTGTTGGCGTGTCAGTGTCATATCTGTGTCATGTCATGTGTCTGTATCCATGCTTCTTGATTTACCTATACATTCCCTAGCCCTTCCATCCATCCTCAACTAATTCCTCTACTTTGCATTTGCCACACTTACTCCATCTAAGCTCTCTTTCATTTGAAATCTAGATCAAATCTCAAAACCCTAACTCAAAACTCTAAAATTGAGAGAAAGAGAAATACCTGGTCGCAATGGTTATTGTGATGGTCCTTGGGGTGTTGTAGGTGTCACGGTAGTGCAATAGATGATGGGGTTAATGTAGAGAAATGGGTTAGAAATTGACACGGGTCATGTGAAACAACATGAGAGGGGCTAAGAATGGTGATGGGGATAAGACTAACAATGGCTGGGTGAGTAAGAAAGGTGTGGCAGACGGGTAAAAAAGTTGGATAAAGGAAGAGAATAAAGACAAGAGAGAACAAAAGAGACAAGAGACTGAGAGGTGAAAGTGAAAGAGATAGTTTGATAATTACATTAATGAGTCCATTATTTGTCTAAAAAGTATATATATTTTTTAATTTTTATTTATAGTTCTCCCTGAAAAAGGGAGTTGGTAATAGCCCTCACCTTTCTTCTAAGGACCCCTACATCCTTTATTGTTTTATTACAATTTTACTCTACTACAAAATTTTGTTTATGTTCTCAACTTTAACATCTCAAAACTCTAACCCTAACCCTGACTACCTCTACCTTCATATGCCACAACTCTGGCCACCACGCTTCAGTAAGCCTTCCTAGCCCATTCTCACTATCTAAAAGTGTAAAAATGGCCCGCAGCCCGGTTAGGCCCGAACCCAAGCCCAGCCTAGGACCCTAGGTTTGGGCCTATGCTATCATTTTGAAGCCCGGCCCGATTCGTGGGCCTGGCCCATCGGCTATCTTAAGGCCTACTCAAAGCCCTCCTTACCTGAGGCCTAGTGTCATTTTTGGTGGAAAAAATAAAATTTTGGTAAAAAAATTTTAAAAAAATGTTCAAACCCTGCCCAAATCCGCCCCAAGTCCGAGCCTAGGCCCCGGCCCACCAACCCGGCCAAAGGCCCAGTCCGCTAAAGGCCCGAATACCCCATGGGCCTTGGCCTAACTTTTTCACCCATAGGCCAGGTCGGGCCAAATTTACACCCCTATCACTATTTACCTCTCCCCAACCTCCCATTGTCTTTTCTCTACCACACTGTTACCCTTTAACCCTTTTTCAACTGCTACTACTTAACCCCATCCCCTCCTTACCCTTTCTCTTTCTTTTGCGTTGCGATCATGGGTCGTTAGTGGCCGTCTCTTACTTTTGTAATTGAAAAAATAAGGTAGCAACTAGGGTTTGCAATCGTAGAGGAGGCGACAACAATTAGGGTTTTGCAAAGAAGAAGGTTGTAAGGGGTGCTAGAAAGGCCATGGAGCTGATGCATGAGAGTGGAAAGGGCTTGGAGTGGCACCGGTAATGGAAGGTAGTGAGGAGGGTGGAGTAATTGCGAATGTGGATGTCAGAGACGGGAAGCAGCAGGATTTAGAGTGGTTGTGAAAGGGGCTACTAGAAGTAGAAGAGGTTGTCAAAATAAGAATTGGTGGAAAGAGGTCTACAAAAGAAGGGTAAAATTGACATGAAAGTGGAGATCTCAAAAAGATGTAGGTAATGAGTAATTCTATTTTCACACATCATTTACTCTCTTTATATACACTTAATGAATTAATTTTTCTTATAATTTTACCACTAAACAAAATGACCAATATGGATTTCACACTTCAATCCTTAAAATTAAATTTTCTTAATACACATCTTTTATATGAAAATTCTCAATACACATTTTCTTTTCAAAAAATACGTACATTAGACTTACTCTTTAATTTTTTTTGTTTCTTTCTCACTCCCTTCATTGATCATTGTTCACTTTACTCTTTCTTCATTGTTTCTCATAGATTTGATCGATGTTGCTCAAATTTTCGCTCCTTATCCATTGCTTATAACATTGTTCCATTACACCCCACTGCTATTATTTCTTTGTATGATGGAGGATTTACAAATCAATGAATGTTTAGATGTAGAAAAAAAATGATTGTTAATAAATAAATAAATAAAATTAGGCAACGAATAGGAGAGCTTTTTGGTTCGGAAGTTTTTTTTTTTTTTCATTTTTGCAATTATTATTCTAAAAATGTTGCATCTATATGAAAATTAACTTTTGAAAACATTTCATATATTCGAAAACCAACTTTAAAAATAGTTATATGTTGAAAATCTTTATTTGGTTCAGAAGTACAGAATCAAAAACTATTGTTTGATTCAGTCGTTGATTGTCGAATTTGTTTAATGTATTTGGATAATTAGTACCAGATTATTTCCATCTCGTTGCCAATCAATAGGGAACGAATAATGAAAATAGTATAACAATAACTTACACTCAGTTTGGTTTGGAGTTTTGAGAAATAATTTTTGAAAATTTCAATCCGTATTCTTTTGTTTTAGTGAACATTTTTAATATTCTAATTTTTTTTTTGGATTCACTTAATTTAGATACACTTAAAAAACATACAAAATATAAAAATTCAGTACATATTTTTTTTGTATTTATTATTTTTTTTAATTTTTTTTTGCAAATAATTTATTTTTTAAATATATCTAAATTAAGTGATTCTAAAAAGTAAAAGGTTAATTAAATATGTAAAAAGTTTACTAAAAACAAATAAATAAGATTTTAAAATTAATATAAATATTTTTGAAAACTTAAAACTAAACAGAGTATTAGTTTTTGAAGAATAACAGTAAAATAATATATAAACATTACTGATTTATTTATTTATTTTTATTTTTATTTTTTATTTTTTTGCAAACCTTAGTAAATATGGTCAAAAAATTGCTGAAGTGTGTCGAAAAAATGTCGCGTGTAGGACATGGTTTAGGTTTTGACTTAAGCTTAGATAGGTGGTGTGAGCTTATATTTTGTGTGGTGTGTGCTCATAATGTGTTAGAATTTTTGTATATATTATATGTTATGGACATACTTGAAACATTTTGTTTGTGAAATGAGTAAAATAAAAGATAAATAAATTCATTAAATATGTGTACCGAAAAAGATATTCACAAAATATAAATAGTGTATGGAAATAAAATTGCTTATAAGTAATTATTTAAGTGCGCAGTCAAAGAAGTAGGGGTCTCAAACAAATTGGTGGGAATTATTAAGAACAATGCTAAAAAGTTGAAAAATAAATAATAATTAAACATGAAACATCACATAAACCATTTTCCCTTTTGATTTTTAAAGATTTTTTACGACATAAAAAACCGAGTGAATACGTGTGATCCCATTCGGGCCGCCGTTTACAAGTCAGCAAATCTGAGCTATTACTCAATCAAACCTTCATCCTCTAAAGCCCGCCCCCTACCAAATCACCAAACAATAGGCATCTCTGCCTCTTCCATCTGATCTTTTTTTGAAGGATCAATCGTTACCTACCTCCTCTTCATCACCAACCTCTAGGTTTTCAATCAATGTTACAAATTGGATTTTTTTA